ATTTCTTTCTGCTTCCCTGAGCTGGGCCGCCTCCTGTCCTCGCCCTTGTAAGCAGGAACATACAGCTTGCTGTGCGGCTTCTGCTGGTGTCTGAGAATCCTGGGCTTCGGTGGCACCAGGCTGCTCCTTCTGGCTGCCAAGACGTTAACTAGTGTCGGTGCTGGCAGCTTCCTGAAAGGCTTGCTCTGGAGAGGAGGCCAACATTCTGGAGAGGCCAAACTGTCTGACGCTGGGACCGTGTTGGTCGAACAGTCTGGAAGGCATACCTCAGGGGCACAGACTGGGGGCTGGCTCACTAAACTCATCTCCCCTGTCTGCTGAAACTCGCCAGCATCCTCTGCCTGAAGGCAGGGCTCCCCTAAATACTGGGCAGGGGACGTTCTGGGCAGTACAGGGGCTTTGAGGCTGCTTTTCCCCATCCCCTGGACAGTCCTGCTCTGCAGGGTTCTGTCCAGGAGGTTGTGTGTGAGGATCTTAGAAGGCGGCCTGCTCTCCTGTCGAGCTGGAGGGGCCTCTGGAAGCCTGTGGTCATGAGTGGCTGGGACCCCTGTCAGGGCCCGCTCAATTTCCTTCCCCGCAAGAGAGGAGATGAGGAGAAGACTCGTCAGGGTGGGGACAGACTCGTCAGTTAGCGCCTTCCCTCTCGGACACGYCGGACCCAGTGTGGGGACAGACTCCTTAGTTAGCGCCTGCCCTCTCGGACACGCCGGACCCAGTGCGGGAAGACACTCTTCAGTCAGCGCCTGCCCTCTCGGATATGCCTGGCCCAGTGCGGGATATGTCTGATCTAGTGTGGGGATAGACTCCTCAGTTAGCACCTGCCCTCTCGGATGTGCCTGGCCCAGTGTGGGGACAGACTCGTTCCTTAGTGCCTTTCCTCTTGGATACGCTTGGCCCAGTGTGGGGACAGGCTCCTTAATTTGCACCTTCCCTCTCGGATATGCCTGGCCCAGTGTGGGAACAGACTCGTCAGTTAGCGCCTTCCCTCTTGGATATGCCTGGCCCAGTGTGGGRACAGACTCGTCAGTTAGCACCTGCCCTCTCGGACATGCCTGAGGTAGTTTCCCCAAGATCTTGGCAACCTCAGGTTTTGAGCTGGCCCCAGATACCTGGGAGGAGGAGGAGGGGCCRTCAAATTCTGGCAGGGTCATGCCCGGTGGAGCCGATGTCATCTTCAGGAGATTTAGGGGCTTGAGGACCTTGAGGGGTAGGCCCCACCTGTGCTTCACCCACAGCTTTATGATATGGTCTTCCAGGATCTGCTGAGTGGACGCRTCGAGAAAGGGCAGCTTCGCGCAGGTGCCCATGCAGGTGTCCCAGGTCTCGGAGAGTGCCAGGGAGCTGCTCTCCAGGTGGGTGTCAGACGTGGACGAAGTGCTCCTGATAGAGAGCCAGGACTGGTACACATTCCAGGGGATCAGGCCCTCTTGGATCTGCCCCGACTTCAGGCACAAGTGGGCTTTCAGCGTGCTTCCTAGTTGGTTCTGGTCCACGTGTCTGGAGAAGTCATTTTCTGAWGGTCCCTTCAACAGCTTCGTCAGGTGACTTACTGAATCCAGAGAGTGTGCCTGCTGAACCTTCCCTGGGAGGACCTCCARGTCCTTGGGTGGATCTTTCGGGACCTTCCCTAGAATATGCCCCAGATGCTTGCCTGTGTCCTTCTCTAGCTGGAACCTCACCTTCTGTGAATCCTTGCTGCTGTCACCTATAGACAGGAAGGCCTGGGGGGGGCAGGGCTTGTCCTTGGCCCGACACGTCCCTGGTACTTCTTGAGATGTCCCTGCTAGTTCTTCCCGAAGTTGCATTAGTTCCAGAGACTTTTGCATCTGGTCCCACCTGGGTTGCATGAGCCACCTTTGAATGTGTTGCTCCAGTTGCTCCCGAAGCTCGGAACTGACTGGGAGATTCTCGGGAAGGATGGAGTCTGGGCAGTTGTCTTGGGAGAGGTGGGGCGGGAGGATGTTGTAGACTTCCTGAGGTCTTTGGACCACTGAGGGCAAAGCCCACCCACATCCCAGTTGTTTCCCAATCCAGGGCATTTGTGTGGGTTGAAATTCAGTTGGGAGGAGAGACTGTGGCTTATTCTGGGATGTAGGGCCAGATGCTGCACAGTCCGTAATGTGAGGTGGAGAAGAGGGTAGCAGGGCTTGGAAAGAGGATGGGAGGTGGACCTGGGTCTGGAACTGACCCAGAGTTTGAGGCTGGAATTGGGACATGGATAGAATCAAGGGTGGGGACTGGGGCTGGGAAAGCAGGGGGGACATTTTATCCTGCACTTGAATTGAGCACACACTGGAGATTCTGTTGAACAAGAAGCAGGTGGGCTGCAGAGCAGAAGCGCCCTGGGAGATCCAGGCAGCAGCCACCAGGGATTCGCTGTGCAGAGAGGGGAGACCCCAGAAGAGCTGGTTGTACTTCTGCTCAAAATGGTCCCCCAGGACCTTGGAATAGGAGAGCTGCTGAGGCCCCAGCAGCTGTTTCACTTTGTCCTTTATTTCCCAGAAGGGTTGTGGGACTGTGAGGTCCTGCTCAGCACCCAGGGAATTCAGCATATTCCTCAAAGAACTGAGATGGTATCCTGGGCTCATTTGTTCTAGAAATGTTCCATCTTTTTCTTTTTCCTTCCAAATCTTGACCTCAACTTTCCTTGTGACCTTTATCCCCAGGATGTTCTGGTCATCAGAGCTGTGCAGAGAGGGGTTACCAGCCTCCATCTGCCTGCTGGTGGGGACTCCCAGGGAGACGGCCCTTGGTGGCTGGTGGGAGAGAGGCCCCTTCTGGGACTCGCTGTCTGATGAGGTGGTGAGGCACAAGGCTCTGGCAGCCAGSTGCCACCAAGGAAGGGCTGGGATGGCAGAACTTGTGTGGCTAAGGCTGGAGATGTGTGGGATGGGAGAAGCCAGCATGTGCTTGGGTGGGGACGAGCTCCGTGTGACTGCATCCAGTGGAAGGGCCATTGAGTCACTCTGAGAAAGAGTCAGAGTGGGGCCTGGCAGTGGTGGGGTAGAGCAGGGTGCTGGAGGTACTGCGCAGGCCCCGGGTGGACATGGTGGGGGGAGGGGAAGTGCCAGTGGCTGGGGTGACAGGGATCCTAGGGGAAGCAAGGGCCCTGGTGACTGAGAGGCAGCGAGGGAAGGGGGTAAGCAGGCCGGAACTGAGGAGGCTGCTTGACCTGAGGACGGAGAGGAGGCCAGAGGCAGGAGGTGCTTGGTTAGAGGAGCCAGCGCAGTGCTGTCCACGGGCTCCCAGTGTGGCCGCGGAGGCCCACCAGCTGTTCTTTTGTACTCCTGGTCAGGGGGGTCTTGGTCTAAGGGCTGGTAGGAGCTGTCGTTGGCAGGGACCGTCCCCAGGAGGCTGCAGAAATAGAGGGCATGGCTGCAGCCAGAGGAGGGGCCAGCAGGAGGGTGGGCATTAGCAGGCCTGGTCCCTCCGAACCCATCCCCTGACTTCCCAGTTCTGCCACTCCTGGCCCCAGGGTTTCAGTGCCCCCATCTCCATGTTCTCCCCCCCCACCCCTGGGTCAGCTCTGAGGCCCTGGCATCCCATGATAGGCCTTGGGAGGAAGGATATTGGAGAGAAAGGGAAAGTTTTGTACCTTTGCACAAGAGAAATCAGGTTCCAGGTCTCCTTCAGGTAATCCAGGCAGTCTCCACACGCTGGAAATGAGGAGACAGGGTATAGTGTGAAGGCCATGGGGATTTTAGAGGATGCTGAACAGAATGTTCCTTCAGAAGGGATCACAGGAGATTAGACTCTAGAGCAGCAAGCACCGGTGTCCAAGGTCAGATGACCCCTGGCTGCAAGGTACTCGCCTGGGCAAGTCTTTGTCATTTACAAAGTGTGGGAGAAAGGATGGGGTCATCTCAAAAAAAGAATCAACTGTAGGCAAGTAACAGCCTGTCTTCACTTGGACTTGAAGGTCCCACTTCCTATCCAGCCCTACTGCTCTGCTGCCATCCACCTGCCCGCTGCTGGGCCGCACCCACCCCTGCTGCAGCACAGCTTCCTTTGGAGCATGGAACCTGAGCCCTTTCCAATTCTGGGTTCCTTCCCAGCAGCCTCCTTCTCAGGGCTCTGCAACTGGTCTCTGTCCCCACTCCATCAGGATTGAGAGGAGGCGCTCACCTGCTAGAGCCGCATTCTTCTTCCTGCTCCTGCTCCTGCCCCTCCTCTGCAGGCCACCCTGAGAGACAAGGTAAAAACAAAACCCCCCAAAACGAGGCTGAGGCCCAATCTTCCCTCTAGACAAGCTGCAAACAGTGACCATGAATTTTATGGTACTCTACAGTGAATCAGTGGAATCTGGTTTTTTCTTTCCTTTTACCCATTTTTAAAGTAGATATGATATTGTTATTCTCCTTTCAAAAACAGAGGGATTTTCTATGTCAACCCCATCAGTCCTGGGTTCTGTACTCAGGAAGCAGTTCTTCTACCTGCCAGGCAGGGCTCTGTTCCCTGAGGCCAGAGGTGACTCCTGGTGATGGGAGGCCCGGGCGGGATGGACCGCAGCTCAGAGGTCTCAGCCCTCGGCCTCTGAGTCCCAGTGTTCGAGCTCACCCTGGCCCCAGCTCTCCACCCATGGGCCTGGAGCCTCAGGTGGTGCTGTGGTGCCCACTCTCGGCCTGCTGGCCCCGCCTGCCCCAGATGAGGCTGTGTCTCCCGAGGTTTCCCAGTGGACACCCGCGCCATTAGATTGGGAAACGTGGAAATCGGAACCTAGGAGAAGGGGCAACGGGGCTCACCTTTTGGCTGTTCTTCCTACCCGCTGGTGGTGCCGCGGGCTCACCCTGCAGGCAGGGCAGCAGGAGGAGGAAGAGCCCCAGGCCACACACAAAGGCCAAGAGCATGTCCACCACCCAGGTGGAATGGCCGGGGCTCAGCCATGTGGTGCTAACCCTTTTMAGAAGCAAGAGCGCGTTCTCCATCGTGTCCTTCATCAGCCTCCATTAGTTGACCTCAGGCCAGAGAACTCCCTTTGGTGGCCGGAGCAACGCCCATGCCTACATCACAGAGCCCAGCCTGCTCATCACAAAGGGCTGGGGTGGGGGAGGTGGCAGGAGAGGCTAGGCTGGCCCCGCCCCACCCCGCCCAGCCCCACCACGCTCTAGCCCCGCCCAGCCCCGCCCAGCCCCGCCCTAGGCCCGCCCCACCCCATCCCAGCCCCGCTCACCCTGCCTGGCCCCGCCCAGCCCCGCCCTAGCCCCGCCTTCCCCTCCACTTGCTGCCCTAGTTCTTTCCCACACTGGAGATCTTGGCTGGTGGCTTGTCCATTTGTCAGGCGTTAAAAGTCTGAGGCTGACCCTGTCCTGTTGGCTCTCTCCCAGGGACTTTGACTCTCAGGGTCCAGTTGGTTCTTGACTCTAGCTTTCCTATCCAGTGGTTTTGGTCCTATATTGGAGCAGGGACAGAACTTAAATTTATTTTACACTCATTTAATTTTGTGAACTTAGAATGTGAACTTTTATTTTTTTAAATTTTTTAAAAAATATTTTTTCTCAAGTTTTAGGTGGACACAATATCTTTTTTTTTTTTTTTTACATTTTATGTGGTGCTGAGGATTGAACCCAGCGCCCCGTGCATGCTAGGCGAGCACTCTACCTCTGAGCCACAACCCTAGCCCTGAATGCGAACTTTTAAAATGTTTGTATGATTTCCCATCAGAGACCTAATGACATAAAATTAAAACAACGATTCCAAATTCATTAAATATGGAAGAATTATAAGTAGCTACAACTTCGAATGACATTTTTGTAAGTGTGTAGCTTTTATATTTCTGGATTTTTATATTCTGGAGAATGAAATCATGGCATTTGCAGGTAAATGGATGGAGCTGGAGAATATAATGCTAAGTGAAGTAAGCCAATCCCCCTAAATCCAATGCCGAATGTTTTCTCTGGTATAAGGAGGCTGATTCATAATGGAGTTGAGGGGGACCTGGATGGATTAGATAAACTCTAGATAGGGCACAGGGGTGAGAGGGAAAGGAGGGGGCAAAGGGGTAGAGAATACTGTGGAATGAGATGGACATCATTACCCTAAATACATGTACGAAGACAGGAATGGTGTGGATATACTTTGTAAACAATCAGATATGAAAAAGTGTGCTCTATATGTGTAAAATGAATTATGCATTCTGCTGAAATACATAACAAATTAGAATAAAAATTAAGAATAAATCTATATGATTCATCTACCCCCCCTTTTGGGTTTATATTCATTGGAAATGAAACCAGCATACCAAATACCTGCATGCCCATATCTATTGTATCACTGTTCACAATGGCTAAGGTATTAAATTAATAGCTAGGAAGTACAAAATACCCCAAATAGAAAAAGGAATCTTGAGGAAAAAGAACAAATCTAGAGGTATATACTACCCAAGCTCAAATTATATTATGGCATAAAACCAAATTGGGGCTGGGGTTGTGGTTCAGCGGTAGAGCACATGCCTAGCACATGCCTAGCACATGCAAGGCCCTGGGTTCAATCCTCAGCATCACATAAAAATAAATAATAAATAAAAATAAAGGTACTGCGTCCACCTACAACTTATATAAATAAATTTAAAAAACCCAGACAACCAATGGAGCAGAATAGAGAGCCCAGAAAGAAATTCACATATATGCTCATCTAGTCTTCAACAAGCATACTACAGGGCTAGTTCCTTCAGCAATACTGAAAAACTGGATACCCATATGCAACACAAGGAAAGTGGACTCTTATCTCATCCCATCACAAAAATCAACTCCAAATGGACAGAACACTTAAATGCAAGACCTGAGACCACAGAATTCCCAGGAGAAAAATGGGAAAGCTACTTAGACGTTGGTGTTGGCTAATTTTTTTTTTTACATTGAAGATATAGGCAACTATAACAAAAGTAAGTGGGGTCATATTAAACTAAGGGTTTCTGTAAATAAAAGGAGACAATAAATAAAATAAAAGGCAACATATGGAGTGGTAAAACTATTTGCAAACCCTGTATCCATTAAGGGGTTAATAGTTAAAATATACCAGGAACTTATCCAACTCCAAAGATTGGAATAGACACTTTTCTAAGAAGACAGAGATGGTCAACAGGTATATAGAAAGATGCTCAACATTTTCAGTTGATTTGGTTTAAATATGAGGTGTTCCTCAGAAGCTCACATGTGAGACAATGCAAGAAAGTTCAGAGGTGCAATAATTGGGTTATGAGAACTGTAACCTAATCAGTGCATTAATCTACTTGAATGAATTAACTGGGTGGTATCYGTAGGCAGGTAGGGTGTAACTGGGGGAGGTAGGTAATGGGGAAGGGGGTCATGCATTTGGGGTTTGGATTTTGTACAAAATTCATTTTGGCAAGTGAAGTTCTTTCTCTGCTTCCTTGTTCTCATGTCCTGAGCTGCTCTCCCCTGGCTCTTCTGTCTCATCTTGGGCCCAGAGCTATGGAGTTGGCTATCTATGAACTGAGACCTCTGAAATCATGATCTCCAAATGAACTTCTTCTCCACTCTATTGTTCTCGTCAGGTCTTTTGGTCACAGTGGTGAAAAAAGCTGACAAAAGCACCAGTCATCCAGGAAATATAAATCAAAMCCACAATGAAATACCAACTCACACCTGTTAGGATGGGTATTATTAAAAAGTAGAAGATAACAAATTGTGGCAAAGATGTTGGGAAAAGAGAAATCTTGTGCATAGTTGGTGGGAAGGTATTGGTGCACCTATTGAGGAAAGCAGTATGGAGGTTCCTCAAAAATTAAAGGTGGAACTATCATATGATCTAACAATCTCACTTCTGAGTATATCCCAAGCAACTAAAATAAATCACTGTTTTGAAGAGAGATCTACATCCCATGTACCTTACAGTCAAGAGGTGGAAACAGTCTAAGTGTCCACTGACAGATCAATGGATAAATTAAATACAATAGATAATGAAATATTCATCCATAAAAAGAAGAAAAATCTGTTCATCTGGGACAATTTGGATGAACCCAGAGGATGTTATGATGAGTGAAAGAATCAAGACACAGCCAAAATACTGCATGATTTCATGTAAGTGGAATTAAAAAACAAAATCCCAATCTGGCAGGGATTAGAGTGGTGTTTTTCAGGACAGAGTGGCTGGCGGGTGGTGGAAGGAAAGGGGAGGTGTTTGTCTCCTTTGCCCCCTTTGGCCCCTCTACTTCTGCCTTGACCACCATGACAGTTCTTAGTCCAATGGGTTATTTTCCTTTAAAACTTTTTTTTATTATTAGTGCATATTAATTGTTTTAAATAGTTTTTTTTTTTTTTTTTTTTGGTCATTGTGACCAAAATACCTGACAAGAACAACTTAGAGGAGGAAAAGCTTATGTGGGGCTCATGGTTTCGGAGGTCTCAGTCCACAGACGGCCAACTCCATTGCTCTGGGCCTGAGGGGGAAGGGCCCAGTGGAGGAGGAGAGCTGCTCAGTTCAAGGTGAGATCAGGAAGCAAAGAGAAAAGTTGCAGGGGTTTGTACTTTTCCAGGGCACATCCCTAGTGACCCACCTCCTCCAGCCATGTCCCACGTGCCTACAGTTACCATCTCATCATTCCATCCAAATCAGGATGGAATGATCAGGTTACAGCTTTCACAATCCAATAATTTCACCTCTGGACATTCCTGTATTTACAGCAGATTTTGAGAGACACCTCATATCCAAACCATAACATTATTTGTACAAAATAATGGAATTYATTTTCATAATTTCATACGTGCATATAACATACTATTAGATGATTTCTATTTCCCTCTTTTTCCCTCCTCCTACAGAGCCCCTTCCCCTTCCTTTAGGAATATTTACTATAGGATTTATATGACACGAAAGTTTTGAAATGCATATTCTGATAAAATCTTCTTCTATGCCCTCATCTTGAAAAGATTTTGGCTACCCACAATTCAACTCTTAAAATATTATTCTATTGAATTCTTATCTCTGGCATTGTGGTTGGTTGTAAAAGCATTATGTCAATCAAAATTTTTCCTTAAAGGTTGACCTGGCTTTTCATCATTCCAACAGGATGTTACAAAGCAAAGAAGTCTTCAGTGTTGCAAATGTAAATCCTTTAGCAAGTATAAAATTAGCTAAAACATTAAAATAGCATGAAAGGAAGACTTCTTGAGACCTGCAAGTGCACAGGCACATTAACCATCTTGAATTTATTCAGGAAAACAGATGTAAAAGAAATGATTGAAAGAGATGTTCATCTGATGTAAGTCTGGTTGAATGTGGGCAGGCAGCATGGCAGGGGCAGGCAGCAGGCCTGGCCATCCACCTGTCCTTAGGGGTTTTGGCATGTGGTGGTACTAACTTGAAGGGAAATGTGTCACGGGAGAGTGGGGAGCTGAAGCTCCAAGAATCAGTTCTGTGTCCCAGTGAAAGAAAACGTAAAGTCAAACACAAAAAGCTGAGCCAAGAGAAATTCATTATAAGTGAAAATAAAGTAAGGCTCAAGCCAAGAACGCTCTCGGGATTCAGTGGGTCATCTCTGAGCGGAGAATGACACAGGATTCTTCATGCTACTTCCAAGTGTCTTACTGTTCTGTTTGTCCTGGGAACTGCGGTCTACCTTCTTSAGTCTTCACCTTGCTATGTTCAACTCCTCCTCCACATTGCGTGGGGAGTTTTTGACCTTGGTTTGTCCTCAGGAACTGTCACGGTGACCATCCCTTCAGGAGGGCTTCGTCCCCAAGTCAGTMCTATGTCACTGTGGACGCTGGAGTCAATGTCTGGGCAGACTTCATCGTAGTGCCCCGTGCCATTAAAGAAATCTCCCTTCTGAGGTACACTGAGAAACCTGTGGTCCTACATCCGGACCATACACTGAGCCCACTCGACACTGCCAGGAGTTAGCCCCCTTGATCTTTTCTTGTCGATGATTTCTTAGTTGGCTCCTTTGGTTTCCACCTGTTCATTCTCAGGGTCAATACACCTGTTGTTCTACCAGTTATCTGATTTTTCACTAGAGGCAATTCAAAGAAACCCTGAGACCCTGCTGTGTTCTTAGTTCA